GATGCAGATTGTTTGCCGGCCTCCAAGATTTTGAAAGCAGATTAATCATTTAGTAATAATCAGTGCTGAATTTTTTTCGGCATTATCGGTAATTTACATGCCAGCCCGTGGGTAGCCATAATTAAACTGTGTATTTCTCATATATGCATAATATTCACACAAGGTTTTTCGTCATCCGGCTGCCACTTTTTCTGGTAAGATTTACGAATATTCGGTTCACGTACACATTAAAAAAAAAAATTACAATAATCAATTTGTTTACATTTAAAGAATATTCTAACTATACCAATAACGACTGTATAATTCGACCACTTCCAGCTGAGCACTCTATATATAAACACATTGCCGTTAGCCGGGTATATTGGTTCGTGAAGTCTTGGGTGTCGCAGTTTTTACTCAGCACCTGGCCCGCACACTTTTAATAAATTATTAGGTCGATGATTATTTGATTCATTTTTTACAGAGTTTCAATCAAAAATTAAGTAAGGTAAGAAACAATCAAAATTATTTAAATATTGATTCTCTACGCTCGGAATATATTGGTCGTATAAAGCTGTTTATTTATTTATTTGTCTTTTTTTTTTTTTAACTGAGAAAAACATTTGTACTAGAAATCTTGATCCGATTTTTAATGTTTTCACATCTGTAGATTAACAATGTGGGACATTTTTAGAGAGATAATTTTTGACGATTTTATTATGATTATTGATTATAGTTACAGCAATGAATAGTTAAAAAATACAATTTTTAGATAATATTATGAATAAGTAAAACGGTTTGACAGTGACGATTTATAATGAAGATAACAAGGCTAATACATAGTATATAAATGTAGGTTGACCGGTGACCGGTGCATGGTAATTTTGGGTAAACATTTTTATTTTTTTTTTTTGTTGCGTTTTCCTACTTTTTGCTTTCTAGATCCTTCGTCGGTCTATTCTAATAAAAGTATTTTTACGAGTGGCAATAACTAATTTTACATTTTCTGTTTCCTCTATTATTTTTACTTCGTTCAAAATATTTTTTTTAAAATCCTACAAAAATCTTGTGTGGAACCTCATTTGTAAGAAAATATTTTTATTTCACCCTCGAACAGTAAAGTGACAAATAATAATGGTAATGAAACATTAAAGAGTTGCTTTTTTCTTAAATTGTCAAACTAATAATTTAAAAAAATTAGCGATTACTTTTAATGAATTGCCTTATTTATTAATCATTTCGACTTCCAAAAATTCTAAATTTTTAGGATGCAGATGTTTCATGTTCTTCGTTCAGCATACTTCAATTACTCAATATTTGGATATCCGGTAACTGAAACACAGTCGATGGTTTTCGTAGTGTTTATGGTTTTTGCTATATTGTTATGTTATGACAAATGGAATCGTTGGCCCTATGAAACATTAGCTAACAAATTGAGAGGTCCGCCGGATTATCCGATTATAGGGTCATGTTTGGAAGGCTTTGGTGGTAAGAGAAACAAATTATTTTATGTTTGTATTGTATTTAGCCTAATAACTGTACATTAGTACTGTACTTAATTGCTAGGTTACTACGAAAAATTATTGAATTATGGACAATCATACAACTACGGTTCATTTAAATTATGGGCTGGTAATAAATTAATCGTTGTCATTTCTAAGCCAGAAGATCTTCAGGTAATTATTTTTTATGAATAAATAATTTAAAATTATCAATATAAATGTCAACATTCATCTTGAACATATAATGTATTAAAAAAAATAACTACGGTTAATTAACGTACATTTAATGTTCATTCAACCATATTACATATGTACAATACAACTTTAGATTTAAAAAATAAACAAAACAATTAAGCATTCAAATTATATAGTCATATAAGATTAAACATTCAATTGAAAACGGGCTAAATTAACCTCAGAATAGTAATATCTCAAACCTAACATATCAAATGTCTATAAAAGGCTTAATATTCACAGTATTCTATAAAAATTATAGGTCTTTTATCAGTTAGTATCCAATTAAGTAAAATATAAATAGGTAATGTGGACATTTTTCCTGTTTCGATATAAGTATGTCACTTTTCNTCATACTATTACTGGCTAATGATTAGATATAATGATAGTATGTAAACCAAAAATATAGGGTAATAAAATTATACTTTTCCAAAAAAAAAACAATGCTATGTAGAAAAAAAAATACCGCACATATACAAAAGTTACACCCAGTTAAATCTTTCTAAAAATACATTATAAAACACGGGCTTTAATATAAACTATACATACTAAATTCAATTTCTAAATCAATTTTTTTCAGATTATTTTTAATAGTTCGAAGGCCTTAGACAAAGGATTTTTGTATAATATGGCTACTAAATTTTTGGGTGAGAGCTTGATAACAGCTCCAGGTATGTTCATATTGTTTATTAGTTTAGCACATTTAATCTTAACGTTCAACTATGGTTTACCAATTTATTAATGTAGCTATGAATTCAAATAAGTGTTCTTTAACCGAACCTATCCTGTGTAAACAGGTCTTCTAATATTTGTTTTTTTTTAATATTTTTCAAGTTAAAATTTAGGATAGATACTATACTAATTAGTTCCACCATTTAAATCTTCGCATGGCTCAAATGTCTTATTAAAATTATTACAGTAGATAAATGGAAAATACATCGACGTTTGATAAATCCTTTGTTTAAGTACGAAAATATAAAAGAAATGTTTTTCCCGATTTTTCAAGAGAAATCAAAACTACTAATTCAGAATCTACAAAAGGAAAAGGGTAAAACACAACCGTTTGATATCTTGGACTATGCATCAGATATTATTCTTAATACAGTTTGTCGTAAGTATTAAAATCTCTACTACTATGGATATGTGTGAATGTGGAATACATTGTACCATACTATTATACTTGCAGTGATTACTATTAGTAATATTATTGATGTTTTATTGCCTTTTTAGAAACAACAATGGATTACAATCTCGACTCTCAGGCAGATATGGGATTCAAAAAGAGTGTCGCAATGTAAAACATTTACATATTAACGAACTAAATTACAATTAATATGTTAGGTCATTTGGCTATGGACTAAAAAAATTATTTATTTGCAGGGGTTTTGAATTGATAGTTAATAGAGCAACTAAAGTTTGGTTGTATCCTGAAATTATATATAATCTTTATATCAAATTGTTTGACTATGAAAAATATTACACAAATGTACAAAACTTACCAAAGCATGTATGTGTATGTGGGATATAAAAATAGATAAAATGTTTTTTAACATTAATTTTAATTTTTCAGATAATCGAGAAAAAGAAAAATGAATTAGCACAAAAATTTAAAAATAAATTCAGAACAGACACAGATCTAAAGGATGGCGAAAGTAAGTGATAGTTTTAATAAAATACTACCGGATAGTTTTTTATTAACCAAACTGTAGGTGGTTATCGTGTCATTTGAGTTAAGTCAACAAAATTGATAAATTTAAATTCTGTAATTGTACAAGTTTTTATAACTAAAAGTGGTATTTTTTTATTTAAATTATTTAGAGAAATGTTTTAAAGGATTAGTAGAAACTTTAATGGACTCAAACAAAGCCGAATTGGGCTTAAGTGATGAGGATATTATGAGTCATGTGATAACTATAGTAGCGGCTGTAAGTTCAAAATACTCCAAATACTATGCAACCACATGCAATAAATAATTTTTATTTTTTTAGGGTTTCGAAAGTACTTCATTGACCGTTAGTTATTGTCTTTTGTTATTAGCTATCTATCCGGATATTCAAGTAAGTTATTAAGTTGTTTTTGCTGTTTAAAAAGTTTGATATAAAAATACGTTTCAAAAATATTATTTAAGGACAGAGTTTACGACGAAATTTATAGCATATTAGGTGACAGTGATGAACCAATTACTATCGAACAAACGACTAGTCTAGTTTATTTGAAACAAGTAATACACGAAACTCTCCGTTTATTCCCGACTGCACCAGTTATGGCGAGGCAACTGCAAGATGATGTCACAATTGGTAAGAAAAAAATGTATATTAAAATTTATAAAACAAAATAAAATAACAATTGATTTTAGTTACAGGTAATCACACACTGCCGAAAGGAACATTATGCGGTATATCTCCTTTGATTACACATCGGAATCC